TTTTTTTTTCCTTTTTTCTTTTTCTTTTTCTTTTTCTTTTTCTTTTTTTTTCTTTTTTTTTTTGGCTTCTTTTTGAAGTAGCTGCCGCGAGTACCAGAAAAGAAAATATGATGGGACCCAGGCTCGGCAGAACTCGGTGCTGAAAATCAGGATCGGCAAAAACATGGTCGGAGGTAATGGTGGTTTAACATTTTGCAACAGCATAGTCAGGCCGGGCTTGAGATCTACAAGGTGACGAGCCCTTCCCAGCGGTTTAGGCCCTGCGACAGCTAATGACTCCACTCCACTAGTAAGGAGAAGCACCTGCTGCAAAAGGAGTCCAGCAGCCCTACATGAAATTTAGCATTTGTAATGCAGCGGGTGTGCCAGAGTTGATTGCCAAACCTTGAGAGTGAGGATTAAGTCCAGTTGATGTAGCTCAGTGGTTAGAGCACCGGTTGGAAATGCGCATTGTGGTATGAGGTTGTGGGTTCAAATCCGCAGCCTTACACATGGACACCCGCAGGGCGTTAGAATGATGCACGGCTGGACACACACCCCTTGGGCTGCCGCGTGGTAAGCTATTATTACAGACACTGCCTGCGCACCACCCAGGGGACTGTCCATGGTGTTGTATGTTGGGTCCTGGCCTATGAGGGGTTTGCCTGATACAGTTAGCAGTCTAATGAGGATGCAGGTACGGGTTTGTGGTTAGACTGTTCATGTGTATTGGTTACGTTAGGCTCTGCTTTGGGGGGGGCAAGGACCTGAGGTGGATGGGGTCCCGTTTGGGGGCAGGGTTGGCTTGGGACAAGCTATGCTGGAGGATATCGGTGGGGAACCTACAGTAGGGGATTGTCTTAAGGGATCCTCGGTAGGAGGGGTGTTAGTGGACAGACTCTGGTGGAGGAAATCGTTGGGGAACCTGCAGTAGGGGCTGTCTGAGGGGATCCTCCAAGATAGGATGGTCTGGGTCCCATAAATTAGTTGCTGACTGTAGATAGGTACCTGTCGTGGGTCCAGAAACTGACCTCTACAACACCTTGGACTTTCTTCTTTAAAAAAAAAAAGGATTAACTTGAACACGCCAGAGAGTTAGAACAAACAGGTAAAGACTCTAAAGAGTTCAAATTTCAACACTGAAATCCAACTCCTTTTTCTTTTCTCTGCAGAGGAAACGGACTTCCAGTTGGCCGGTGAATTTAGCAAGGGAACGTGTATGTACGTAGACAAACAATATTCCTCTTCTATTTTTACAGCAAGACAGCTTATAAGAAGTAATGAATATGGTCCTTTGGGACATCCGTTAAAATTGGAACGATGCAGAGAAGCTTAGCATGGCCCCTGCGCAAGGATGACACACATAAATCAAGAAATGGTCCAAATTAAAAAAAAAGGGAAAAAAAAAATGATCATGAAGAGACAGATGAAGAGAAGGATGACAGGACAGGTGTAAGAATGTGAACGTCAAGGTATGACTTTTGACTTTGGGGGGGGGGGGAAAGTTGGTATGACTTTAACTTTGACTTGTTTCCATTTTGTTCTGATGGGGGCAGGGACCCAACAACGGGCAGATAGTTTTGTTCTCTAGAACATGTGATAAATGTGGCCCATTTGCGGACATTGTTATGATTCTGCTCAAATAAAATTGCGAAACTGAACCTTGAGAAAATGCAAGGTTTCTCAATTCAAGCAGAAAAAGGCAAAGAGACAGACACGGAACAGAATGAAGAAGAAGAAGAAGAAAGTGCACAAGGTTGAACCAATGCTGTCTCCCTCTCTTGTCCCAAACGTCATCTTTTTCAGCGCATCTCCTCCTCCTCTTATAAACATTAAATTACATCAAGAAATGAATGTCTGATTATTCCCCCTTGAAAGGATTCACGTTCACTTGCCTACTGGGATGCAATCCCAGATCCTCACCAGCCCCCCCCCCCCCCCCCCCCCCCCCCCCCCCTTCCCCTCTGAATGAGCATGCCAAGATTTGAACCTGGGACCTCACCTGAGGAAGTTCTATAGAGATTAGGCGCTTGTGCCTGTCGAGTCTTGATCCCACAACCTGCACCTGCATAAACTCATAACAAAGCCCTTAGTATCATTCGTAGGTGGTCAATAGGGATAGGGCGCCCAGCACGTCGCACCCCACAACCCACAACCCAGGCCAGGCCAGAACGGTACCAGTACCCAAAGCCAAGTAACAAAAGTCGAGAGAAGGTTAACAACAGTCGTATTTTTCATCACCACTTTAGGACACCTTCACCACTTCAGGATGCAGCCTGCCTAAACAGGTGGTTTTCAGGGTCTTCGGACCTTTCACCACTTCAGGACACTCTTCACCACTTCATGATGCA